TATTAGAACCCAAACTCTAGAAAAAAGTATGAGAGGGAACTGTTTGACTAACAAATTTTTTTTTCAGCTTAATAATTTTTGCACCTCAGTTTTTCCTGTCCCTCACCATGTTCCTTAGGGGATAAAATAATATTCCTGAGTGAACTATTATGTTAGTGGGGTTCAATAGCACTTTATATTTTTAAATAGTACCAAATTTAATAAAATATGATGTGCCTTGTTTTCAGTTTTAGTGAAAAAAAAATTTGCTAAATAATCCTATGGAGTATTTCTTGTTTATATAATCAGTAACTCACTGCATTACAGATGAATTAACCTGAAATAATTAAGGTAAATGTAAATGTCTGTAGAGGCACAAATTCTGTGGAATAAAATATCAGACAAGAGCAGATTTTCACCATCCTTTTATTCTCTCTTATCTGTGGCCCTAAGAAGCATACTTTTTTACTTTATGTTTAGATTAGTCCAATGAACTGACTGTGGCTCACATTAATTTTCACATTATTTTTGTTCTAATATGAAAAATGGCAAGAGCAGATTTTGAGGTCTGTGTTAAAATATAGCCTGACTCGTTTGCATAGAGCTGTTGTGCAGGTTTTATTGGGGATAAAAGATATGTTGCTGAGGTTGTCTATCACCTTCAGCTTACTTAAAAAATAAAAAAAAATAAATGAACGAAGGAGGCATTAAAGCTGTCCACTGACTTTTTTCTATGTAATTCCCCAAAGGTACTTTGTTCAAGTGGATGTCATCATGGCAGTTTTGTGCAAAATAAAAGATTTGATTTGAGAGTGTTTATAGGCTAGAGGTCTTTGATATCCCCTGCCCTGCCACCAACTTTTGTGCCCTGCAAGGCCTTTGCTTTAGACGTGTCCCAGAGGCTCAGAGCAAGTGCTCAGAAACATGGGGTATCAGAATCAATTAGCCCCTCGAGGAATTAAAAGCAAGCAATTGAATGCCTGTTAACAATGATTAACTTTAAAAATATTAGCAATTCTGGGAAGATCCCTTTCCTTTCTGGAAGACTGCTCTAGGCAGGCAGCATTCCCAGGAATGTTGGTTTCCAGCTATGTAGACACTTTCTTGGATATAAAGCTCATCAGGGGTCTTTTCTGGGCTTTTTGATTTGGGAATGTACATTATTCTTATGTATGAAACTTAATTCTTCCTAAAAGGGTTTTCAGAGATCTATATACCGTCTTCAGCTACAACCTAAACCCTTGCTTATTAAAAAAAAAAAATGTTTTCTCAGTTATAAAATGAATACACAGATAATATTTACTGAATCATTTTGAGGTCCAAGATTGATTGAAATAGGCTATATAAAATGCTGATCATGTCAAGCTCATGTAAGCTCTACTCTAGATGTTTTCTTCTCCATTTTTCTTTCTTTATAAGTTTCAGCCTTAAATTTGTCCTTGTATGTCTATTTAAGTTGATAAAAACAAATGGGCAAAGATATTTATATCAGTAGCTCTTTACTTCTGCGTTCTCACCTGTATGCAATGGTATCAAAACAAATCGTCTTTGCTGCTGTCTTCTTGGGTATTTGAGTTTGATTGTGTTTATTTATTTTTAAGTGAAAATAGAGAGGGTGGGAAAAGCCCGTAGTTTGGGATGGCGGTGGGGAAATGTTGCGTACTTTATCAAATATCTTTGCTATAGGATGGAATTACCCTCTTGGAGGTGTGTTTTCTCTCTTGTTATCAATTGAGGCTAGATCCCTTGCCTTCACTAGTATTGGAGTCTTGGGAAACGTTAACAGAACTAGCGAAGGGAGGAATTCCATTGGGGTGGACTCTAGGCTCTGGGAAGATATGGAACATGATGGGCACTCAACAGATGTTAATAAATACCTCCTTCTATTGTTGGGACAAAGTAGGGTTGATTTGGGTGTGAATTGTAATGGTCAGTGAGAGGACCTTGTACTTAAAAACCGTGTGTTTTAAGGAGAGGAGGAATCTGGATATTGAGAAAAGTAGCATTGTTTCTTCATATCAAATTATTCTTTGTTTTTCAGGGCTGTCATCCCCCTAAAATTGTCAGCTCCCTTGTGTCCATGTCGTATGCCTTCTTGGCAGTCCTTGCCATACATTGCTGTGGACACAGTAAGATTTCAATAGGTCCTTGTTGATTGAAACCAAACATTTGGGAATCTTAGAGGCAGAGTTGACGGGTGAGGTACGAGGAGGGCTGCAGGGAGAGAGGGCGAGAAAAAACAATCAAGGCAGAGAGAGAATTAAATATAGAAACCGCCTGAGAAGCCAGAAAAGAGCAAGGTTGGTGAGCAACTAACAATTTATGTTCTCCTGAGAAAAGAAAAAAAAAGGAAAAAACTGGACAGGGGAGAATTTTTAATCTGAAGAGCTAATTAACCAAATTATAAGACCTCAAAAATATCCCTCTCGTTAGAGTTATAATTTTGAGACTTAGGGAAAAAAATGGTGGAAGCTACTCTAATTCGTCCCAAGAACCTATTTAAACTTTGAATTGTGCAGGAATAGAAATTTGAGGGGGAAAATGGAACATGCTGTAGTTTATAAATCATTTCAATGTTTTGACTCCTAACTAACCCTCTTTGTGATGGTGAAGGGAAAAAAAAATGTATATAAAACCACCTGTGGTCTCTTAAATGTGCTGATTTGATGAAGAAAGAGTGGAATTAGGTGGCAAAAAGGTGAATAAGGAAACTCCAAAATCACAATGTGAGCAGGTTAAAATATCATAAACTATAATACAAAATGTCCCCGTGTAAAGAGCTTCTCCAAAATGTGTGAACATGACTTAAAAATATATATTTTGTAAATATTATATGTATGAAAATATATGCATTTTATCAATATATAAATATATATCATAAGTATCTATGTAATGGGTGCCTAGCGTTCGATGAACACCATTAAAAGTATCAGAGACTAATCACTGCAGGGATCACCTGATAATAATTAATAAACATCAACTCTTCTTGGTCAAGTGACCAATATTATTTCACAGTTGACTGTGTTGAGGGTTGAGCCAATGACCTTTGCCCTGAATTTTAATAATTTACTGTAGTTTTACATTAAATCGGAATATAATTGGGAAGAAAATTAGTGTTTCTTTGTGGGGAGTGCAGAGTAATGCCACTAATTGCATGTATAAAAGCCTTCCCGAGGTTGTATTTTCCTGTTCTTTCTTGATTTAGAAAATTAAAACTACAGTAATTTTCCGCTATTTGTAAGAGGGAAAAATGTGCCAGTGAAATTGTATTCAGCTAACTTAAAATGTCAAAGCTTTGGGCCATCTTTTCATGCCCAGTAATGACAAACTGTCAATTCATCACATTATTCAGGAATTCACCAGCAACTTGTTGCAGCTATCAGAGTTGAAAAAACACCTTATAGCACGTGTGGTCTGAGAGAAGAAATAATCTGATTTTTGTTTGTTTGATTTTTCTTCCTTTCACTTTAATATTTGACCAACTTTACATCTACAATGTGTTAGAGCAAATCACCACTTCTTTTTTTCTTTAGAAAAAGATGGACAAGAGAGAACACATTAAATTAACCTCAGCAGAACAGGAGATTAAATGAATAGGGCTTTAAAATTATTTTTAGATACCTGGGGGATTTTTTTTTTCATAGAAGTTATTATCAAGTAAAAGAATGGAGCTGATTTTAAAAGTACATGGGGTTTAAAATTTTGTTAAAAACACATATATTCACAAATGTCTATATACCAGGCGTACCTCTCCCTGGAACTTGGAAGGGTTAAATCAGACCACTGTAGTGTTATGGGAAGTGTTTTTTTTTTTTTTTGGCAATATCTAGTACCTTGAGTTTGTTATGTATTCAGTTATGTATGTCATCATAAAACAGTGCACCTGCATTAGCCTTCATTGTCTCAGGGTAGAAGCTGAGAAATGAGAAAAAAAAAATTAAACAGCTCAAGAAATGAATATTTCTGCTAATAGCGTGTCAGTATTTTTCCCTTATTCCACGGCCATTCTTAGTCTCAAATGCAAACTGCACAACCCAGACACTAGGGTTGGAATCCAGTGTTTATTCAAAAAGGCACCCTAAGGCAGCTGGAGTGGAAACGCTACATGTATGAAAAAAGGCAGCCGGGAAACTCAGCTGATCTGGGCACAGCAGCAGCAACTGTATTTACTAACACTTGTTTTCTGGGAGCCTATGAGAGAAATGGAAATAATTAGAAAGGACCTGAAAGGGTGGTATTTTGTTCCTTGTTTTCCTTATAAGGAGCAAAGCAAATTGCAGTAACACTTCGGGAGCTGGTATTCCCTATTGCCACGGGGACAGCCGATTCCTGGGTGGAGGAGTTTGTTTATACCTTAACAAATACAGACTGTTTTGTTGATTCAACAGCGCAAAAAAAAAAAAAAAAAAAAGGAGAGAGAGAAAGAAAGAAAAAGAAAAGGAAAAAAAAAATGCTTGCCCCATTCTTTGCTTTCAAACACTTCCCCCAATTAGAAAATGTCTCATAAAAATGCATCATGTGATAAGCTCTTGCTTTAGTCCCAAACCGAGCTGGAGTCCACTGGAGGTCTTAGAATTTGAATCCTTAGGGAGCACACATTTTAGCTCAGGGTGTAGTTACTCTGTCATGAAACAGGGAGCTTTGCCACTTGCTTGTTTTGGAAGGAAAATAAATTAAAAAAAGATTGCAGGGGATTTTAGTTATTATATGGCCAGGGCTCCGTTTAGAGTCTGTGGCATTCAAAGCTGGCTTTAATCACAGCATGATGCTTGAAGCCTCCAAAAGTCCAAGTGTTTCCTTTCTTTCTTTCTTCTTTCCGTTTTTTTTTTTTTTTTAAGCGTTACTTCACTGAGGCAGAGGGCTGCCTTTGAGTGACGTCACGAGTTTGAGCAGCAAGCTGCACAGGAGAAGGGAGGCTGGGTGAGTGACAGCCCAGCCTACTTTTTAATAGCTTTGTCATGTGACTGGGAACTGTAGTAAGACAGGTGCCTTCAGTTCACTCTCAGTAAGGGGCTGGTTGCCTGCATGAGTGTGTGCTCTGTGTCACTGTGGATTGGAGTTGAAAAGCTTGACTGGCGTCATTCAGGAGCTGGATGGCGTGGGACATGTGCAACCAGGACTCTGTATGGAGTGACATCGAGGTGAGCCGGGGCTGGGCTGGGCATTGCAGCCAGGACCGAAGCTTCCCTCCCTCCCGATGCAATGATTCCTGTAAGGGGGGGTGGGGGGGGAAGGGCTTAGACGACGACGAGAGGAGGAAGAAAAGTAGCCCGGGCAGGAGCTTTTGGAAGGGAATCTCAATCTTATCTTAACTCCAATAAGTTTGCTATTTTAAGGTGGCTCTGAGATCCCTTGAGCAAATCAAAGCTGAGCTGCTGTCACCCATATCTGTTGCAGTTGGAAACTCTTTCCATGTGCCTTTGGCTCTGTTTCTACTCATATGCAATATTTATGCTCTAAGATATTGATATGAATCAGAAGCTGAAGTCTTTCCAGTGGTGTTTAGTGGCCCGGTTGGAAAAATGCCATTTCTATTTATAATAAGATGAAGATAAAAATATTAAAATGGATGTGCTCAAATATAGTCAGTTTTGACTCTAGTCCGGATTTTTTTTTTTTTTCCTTCCCTCTTCCCCTCTCTTCTCTGTTCATCAGACAGAGAACTCACAAAATCCTAAATAATCCTGCTAGGCTATTTTAGATTGCTTTCCCCACGGCACACAGAACAACGAGGCCGCTTCCTTTAAAACACCTAGATGTGGCTGAAAGATTTGGTCAGCAAATGAAAAAGCCCATCCGTGCCTCACGGTGCAAGGTTTTGCACTAGCGTCGGTGGCAGGGAAGCCAATGGTTAAATCTGCCCGGACCCGGAGAGCCGCCTGGAGCCGGAGAGAGGAGTGTGTGCAGGGAGGGCTGTGTGTGGGGCTGCTCGCTGCTTGTGTAAAAATAGACGGCCATACATCAATTCCACAGTCTGTGCTGGCCACGATTCATACAGGGGGAGAAAAGCCAGCCGTTTCCTCCTAATCTCTGGAGCCTACGGTGACTAACAGGGGGACGCAGGACCGCGGCGTGGCGTGTTTGCATTCAGCACAGTGGCACGTTCTCGGAAAGTTTGGGCAACTTGGGGAAAGAAGCTAAACTTTGTGTGCACCGCGACGAGCTGGAGCCCGACTGCATTGCACGGGGGCTCGGAGCTGCTGCCAGGAAGGAGTGTGGCAGAGGGCTGCGAGTGCTCCCCCCGGGGGGCTGGGGCCACGGCGGGTGAGGGGGAGGATCGAGTGCCACACGTGATTAGATTAAATAAGATGTCCATGTGGTGCAGCCACACGCATCTGAAGTGCAAACGGTTGGGCCGGCCGGGCTGCATCGCTGCTCCTCTGCGGCCAGGCGTGCCCTGGGGCCCTAACCCTGCACCGGGCTTGCCCATGCGGGCTCGGCTGGCCCTCTCCTGCCTCGGCCCACGGCCCCTGCGGATCCCGGCTGCCCTTCCCTTGCTGTGATTTCTTGGGCAGGTGGAAGAGATCCAGATGTTCCGTAGGTCCCGCCGCTGTCGTGAGTCGGGGTTGCAGGTGGCTTCCAAGTCCCGGCTGTCCTGCAGCGGCCGGGGCGTCCTGTGGCCGGCAGCGCGGGGCTCAGCTGCTATACTTTCATTTTTCCATCATGTGTTATTCCTGATGCTGTCGGGAGTCGATATGGAAATGTGGAGGATTTGTTTTACTCACCGGGATTCCTGCAGTCATTTTCAAGGAAGCGTCAGAAGCACTTAGAACCGTGGCCCTTTCGTGCTTTTCTCCAGGAGGTGAGCTCGCGGGCTGGGCGTCCGGCCGGGCCTGAGCCGGGCCTGAGCCGGGCCTGAGCCGGGGCCTGAGCCGGGGCCGCCCGAGCCTGGCCGCTCGCCTCTGTGTTGCACCGGAGGCTGCAAGCTGCTGGGAGCCCTGCCTCCGCGGCGGCGGCTCTGGGAATCACCTCGGCCAGCCTGACAGATTACGAGCAGCAGGTAGCATGGGCAGCTTTCATTTTTTGAGTCATTAATGTTTGCTGTCATCCTAAAACGTATTATGCCCTTTTGCACATAATGACAGGACAGCGCAGTGGTTAATAAAGGCCTGTATCACTACAGCTACTCGGAGTCCCCGGTGTTTCACAGTTTAATGAAGGTGATGTACAATAAGGTTACCAAGATTGATAGAGACAATTCACATGCCACGCACTCCACCAAGACTGTCATTCTTTACTGCCCCCCGCCCTATTCCCTTTTCCCTGTCCTCACGAAATTTTTTTTTTCCTAAGAAGTAAGAATTTTTTCTTCCCATTAATATAATTAATGTGGCCAAGTCCACTCTTTCTTCTCTCTCTCTTTAAAATTTACCATCAATGGCACCAAAACCTCCAAAAGGTTAATGGAGAATTATACTTAATTATGATGATTCATTATCATCAGCGCAGTTAAGCTAATTTATTGTCTGCTCCTTAACTAAGAGAAAAGTCTGTTGGGGTGAAAAAACGTACAATAATTAGCCTTTTGTGTTTAGTGACTGCTTTATCCTCTTAAATCTTATTATAAAATTAAGGCTACGGTCGTGAAATAGCTGTCATAGTTGCAAAGAGGCAGTGGAATGTGTCTCTGTAATTGCGATAAAGCACACCTGTTACAGATGTATAGGGAAGCAGTAAATATCAGCATGTCAGATGAGGACAGTTACAGGGCTCGGACTGTTAAGTCTGGCATCATCCAAAGGCCAAATATAAATTAATAACAGGAACACCTGCTACCACTAATGTGTTTTAGATTATCAGGATAATGCCACATTCAGAAACCCTGATTTTATTAGCGTGTCAACATTGGCAAAAACACAAGCGCATTTTCAACCATAACCTAAGAAGCAAAAATGAGAGAGAAAGAGAGGGAAAAGAAATGTTATGAAGTAACAGCACAGTAAATAAAATGCCAGAAGTTGATCTGGTCGTTTTTTAACGGTCCTTAAAAGTTACCGGAGGGGTCTTGAACAAGCCGTGCCTCGAGGAGGCGGGCGAGGGGGGGAGAGAGAGCAAGAAGCTGCTCACCAATCCGGAGGGCACCCCAGCGTTCCAAGGCACAAGTCGGGTCCTCCACGACGAGAACTTAGGCCAGATGTAGAGCTCCCGTGTTTTCTACCTTCATTTTATTTCTTTGTTGCTGTTTTTGTTGTCTATGCTTTTCCGTTTGAGGACTATCCCGCAACGAAATCCTAGTGGGTTTTGCACCGTTGGGGAAAGTTATCCCCTGGTCTCTGAATCGATCATGCCGTGGAAGAGTTAACACCGTGTGTTTGTACCCGGAGGATAAGCAGCGTGGGCACGTAATGGAGGCTGGGAGGTGTTACACCCGTAACCAAAACGCAAACCTTGCACCCGAACAAAACCTTCCCCCCCCAGCCTGGCCTCTGCTTACTTATAACCTAGTCAAGTATACCGATCTGCAACTTTGGGCTACTCCGATAATAAAAATGTAATGACCAATAAAACGATAAGGAAAGAGTTTAGGTGGAGAGGATTGCCCCTTCTTTTTGCATCACCTGTGTGCCCGCGGTCTGGGATCCCACCGGGGCCTGGTGGTCTTAGGGAGGAAGCACAGTCATCTGCAGGCTGCTCCCAGCCTCTCCCCTTACCAACTGCTGACTCCATTACCCGGTACCTACTCCTCAGCGTGGGGCTTATGATCATGCTGCTGCATATGACCCGTGGAATGTCGCCTGCCAGGGATGACAGGGGTGCTCGAGAAAAAAAAAAAAATCTGCATAAAACTTATTTTATTCAAGATCTAAATGTCACGCGGGATCTTCAGCTTCGTGCTCAACTGCTGCCTGGATGTGAACAACTGCACAGCATCTCTGCTGACCTTGGAAGGTAGGGCTGCGAGGCTACCACTTCAGACTGTGTGAGGTAGACACCGTGGCTTGCAGGTGGATAAAATCTTGATGGCCCTGGCCTCACCAGACCCCCGCAGTAGGAAACTTCTACAGGGTTCTTCACAGTATGCGGGGAGGAAATCACCCCGATTGCCAATCTGAGGCTAGAAGCCCATCTCTTTGCTAAGGTGGTTCACTTTTTCCAAGAAGCCACAGTGTGGGACGACTGAAAGACCACCTACTCCCTGCAAGGAAGTGAAAGACTATTCCAATCTGAAAGACCCTTGCTGACAAGCAGCCCGGCCCTAGTATGGGCTTTTTTAAACCTCTCAAAATATGGAAATCATGTAAAAACTCCAAAGAAAAGTAGTTCTTCTGAGTTCACTTAGAGAATAGTTAGGGATACATAAATGATGGGGAAAAATACAATTGTGGGACGCTATAGTGGTTTTTCCTTTGTAGATGTCAGGCAATCCCAATCTTACACACACACACACACACACACACACACACACAGAGTTGTAAGTTAAACATAATGAAAGATGTGAAGATCATACAGAAGAACTCCGACTTTTGTCCTTATCTTAAGGAACTTGCTTTTTTAAAAAAAAAAATAACTTGTTTATTCATGAGAGACACACACAGAGAGAGAGGCAGAGACACATGCAGAGGGAGAAGCAGGCTCTATGCGGGGAGCCCGAGGTGGGACTCGATCCCAGGACTCCAGGATCATGACCTGAGCTGAAGGAAGACGCTTAACTGCTGAGCCACCCAGACGTCCCAAGGAACTTGCTTTTGACCTGTGGAAGATGAAGTGCCGAAGCTCATGAAAAGTCAAGTTAAGAGCAAAAGATTAAAATGACAATACAAGAAAACCATAGACCAGTTGACGAGCTTGCGTCATCCCTTGCTGAAGGAATTAGAGGATTCTACTGGTTACGAGGAGCGTAAGTGGGTGGAGTTTTCCTAGTAGAGTTCTCATGCTTTTATTTTTCATTGAGCAATTATTTATTTTGTGGTGGTGGCAAATCCGAGGTAAAAATCAATTTTGTATCCTTCCGTCAAAGAGATTATACTCTAAGGGTAGCATAAGATTCTGCATACGGTTAACCGGAAAACAACTTGAAACTCATTAAGCACTAACTGTCAAAAGGGTACAAATTCAGTTGGTTTCTAGCTGGAGGCATGAGAGAGGGCTTCATGGAAATATAGCACTTACCAAGAATTCGGAGGCAGAATTTTGGATGGAATGGGTCAGGCACAGTATCTTTTTTTTTTTTTTTTTAAATTTTTTATTTATTTATGATAGTCACAGAGAGAGAGAGAGAGAGAGAGGCAGAGACACAGGCAGAGGGAGAAGCAGGCTCCATGCACCGGGAGCCCGACGTGGGATTCGATCCTGGGCCTCCAGGATTGCGCCCTGGGCCAAAGGCAGGCGCCAAACCGCTGCGCCACCCAGGGATCCCTGGCACAGTATCTTTTAAGAGCAAAATAAGTAAAGGAATTTAGGATTTTTTTTTTTCCCTTCTTCTGGTGACTAAAACCCTGGAAACCAGCTTTGGTGGTGTGGTTGAATTAACCAGGCTTAATTCCTATCACATGCTATTGCAGTTTAATAAATTCCTGCAGTTAATGAAGGCTTTTTTTTTTCCCCCCTGCCTCCTGCAGTGTGCTGCTCTGGTTGGTGAAGACCAGCCTCTTTGCCCAGATCTTCCTGAACTTGACCTTTCTGAACTAGACGTGAACGACTTGGATACAGACAGCTTTCTGGGTGGACTCAAGTGGTGCAGTGACCAATCAGAAATAATATCCAATCAGTACAACAATGAGCCTTCAAACATATTTGAGGTAAGGGCATCCCTTGGTGAAAATTAATTTCTCATTGAACTTGGCTTGGGCCACGATATGATCGTTGGCCTGAAAGCGTAATGGGTTCTTAACTTTGTTGTCATGTAAAGACTTTTTCTCACAGGTAGGCACTTCTGATTTTGTGGAGAAACAGTGTTTGCAAAAATAAATGCATTTCGTTGTTATTTTTTTTTTGAGGATTCAGGGGCTCAGGCCCCCAACAGAGTGCATTAAACTGTGTTGAAATAGTAAGGGGTTGTGAAAGAATTCGTGACAAAGGAGAACAAAAGTCTAAACCTGTTTATTCCTGTCTATTTCCCACAGAAAAGGGCCTAATGTAAATTAATGTGAAATGTAAAAGAATGCAATGTTTTTTAATCCAAGAGATTAGACGTCTACCTTTATTTGCCTCACCAAGTAAGTGAGCCGTTATTCTTACTGTTATTTTGTGACCAGACCTCTGATTTCTCTATGTCATAGAAACTTTGAAACCCAGCTATTCTAATATCTACTTAGAAATTAGTAAAAATTCGCTTACCTTTCAATAGTGAAAGTTACCTCCCAGGCTCCAGACTCTTATTATAAGCCTACCCTATAATAAGGAATGTTAATCTACTCCTATTAAAGTGTTACTTTGAAAAAAGAAGTTCTTTCTCACAAGATCAGCGCTCATTTACTTGAAAATAAGCGGTTTCTTGTAGGGACAAACATCGAATGCTCTGGCAAATGAGCTGAATAAGGGTTGTTAAATCAACTACTTTTCAATATCACAACCACCCGCACCAGCATCATCATCTGATATCCTCGCCCTAATATGTGTCAGGCTCCATGCAAAGCACCCTAAATGCATCTTTCAAGCCACCAGCAGAGACATTTCTTAAACTTCAATGTATTTGGTTGAAATCTGGAGTCATTAAGAAAGCCAATTTTACAATATCTATTGAGGTTTTCCAGCACCCAGCACATAAAAGGCACTGAATAAATGTTTATTGAGTCATTAAGAAAACCAATTTTACAATATTTACCGGGGTTTTTCAGCGCCCAGCACACAGAAGGTGTATTGAATAAATGCCTGTTGATTAATGAGTGAATAGTGACTATAGTAATATGAATTAATAACAGTGATAACGAACAATAACGACGGTGGCCAACATTTTAAGATCCCCTGTGCTCTGTATGTGTCACCTCACACATCCCTCCAAACATCCTATTTTTTAGGTACCCTAAGTATCATTCCCACTTTCCATAGGCAGACACCGAGTCTCAGAGAGGTTCAGTGATTTTCCCCAAATCACACAGCTGACAAATAAAGACCAGGGATTTGAACCCCAAATTGATCTGACTTCCCAGTCCACATCGCTGATAAAAATAGAGTAACAGCGAGGTTGGGTGACAACCATCCCCTACAAAGACATACCAAGCTGCTGTTTTGCTGAATATATTTAAAAATAGAACAGACTCGTTCCTTTCAGTGTTGGTTGACATGGAAGCAGGGATCGCTGGGGGGAGCCGAGGAGGCTGTAGTTTCTGGCCACAGCTAAGATTTTCTAAATACGTCTGAACAGAGTCTTCGAAGGGCGCTCAAGGCGGTGGGGTCAGGGCTGGGGAGAAGGAGCCCTGAAGGTCTGGGGTTGGTTACGCTTCCCAGGCTTCTCGGCCGGGTCTTAGAAAGTTCATGTGAGGACTTGGCTAGTTAGAACTGGTAAATTGAACATTCCTCATTCAGTACACTTGTCAGGCGACAGGCCCGTTTTAAGTCATGCTGCATTAAATAAACAGTACTTTAAAAAATGTCCATCTCTATAGACCTCTTATCTAAAAATCGGCTATTCCCTGTTGGGTGACTGCCACGCATTTCGTAGACGGTGGTTAGGGAATTACTGAGAGGTGGGGGCCGCGGGGGAGGTGGAGCGCATGTCATGGGAGTCAGTGCCTCCCTGGTGGGCTAGTTTCAAAAAGTCCCTTCTCCATGACCTTGTGTCCCCATATTTCGTGTTGTGGCATCTTCATGAGGTACCTTGTCATGTACACCTTGGGGAGACCTGGTTCACCAACGCGTTACCTATAGATGCCTTATCCCATACGAAGACACCCCCTTTGCTTCCTTGTATGACTCTGGACCACTGATAGAATTGTTTTCAATGCTCTAAAACACAAAATTCATTGGATTTAGTTTCTCATTAGCTCGTTTTAAACCAGTGACTCTCAAGTCAAAGCCGTTTGGACTCAGTGTCTGGAGATAGGTTTGATTTTTTTTGGACTGAAGGCAAGAGGCTGCTACTGGCATCTCATGGGTAGAGACCAGAGCGGTCGCTAACTCTCCTCCAGCAAACAGGACAGGTTCCCACGACGAGGAGCTCTTTGGCCCTAAAATGACAATACCGCTGGGGTGGAGAACCCCTAAAAAAATAGCCACTGAAATTCCCTTTTATAAAAACACCCGAGAGGAACTGGGCAGCTTTCAGAGAGAAGATAGAGTTAAGATACAGGATATGAAGAATCAAAAGCCACATAACATCATGGAGATGCCCTGGGATTGAGCTGTCAGGAATTTTGTTAGTGACAGCGAAAGTGACCGTTTAGATAACCTGTAACAGTTTTCCCTGATGTCACAAAACTCCTTCTTCTTTGTCTGTGCAAAGGGTAAGGGCCATATGTGGCAACACCGAGACACAGCCGCAGCTTCCCGAGCATTTGCATACGGCCCAGATGCCTCTACTCTTTGCCCTCTAGCGTTAAACTCAGACAGCTTTTCTATAACGTTGGGGGGCGGGGTGTGGAGCATAGGTGGAATTCGAAAATTGTGTCTCCCTGGGAGGCAGGTCCCCAGGCAGCACAGTAACCCTCGAGTGGCCGCGGCCCTGGGCGGCTTCCTCCAAAGCAGCCTCTCCCGGAAGGCCTCCCCGGGCCTGTGCCTTTAAGCCTCTCCCCGTGGACTTTACCCAGGCTCACTTTCCTCCAGTTCTCAAAGCCCTGCCTCATCACATTTGGGAAAGCCTTGTACTCGGGCAAGCCAAACAGTCACGGTTTCCGCCACCTCTGATCTGCCAATAACAAGCATTACCTACCTCCGATTCCCAGAATAAAATAAGGCACCGAGTAGCTCAACACGCTGCCTGACTTAAGGTAGCACCTCGATGACAACCCTGGAGACTGGCCCCCGGGGTTCTGAGTCTTTTTTTTTTTTTTTTTTTTTTTTTAGATTTTATTTATGTATTTGAGACAGAATGAGAGAGAGAGAGAGGAGAGAGAGAGAGCATGAGTTGGGGGGCAGAGGGAGAGGGACTAGCAGACTCCCCACTGGGCAGGGAGCCCGATGCAGGGACTTGATCCCAGGACTCCGGAATCATGACCTGAGCTGAAGGCAGATGCTTAACCCACTGAGCCACCCAGGAGTCCCGGATTTCTGAATTCTAATCAAAGCAGAGAGCAAGGGGGGGGGAGGTATTTAGAAATCCATATAGGATGCAGATAGTTGACAGATAGTATAGCCAAATGTTAGCACCTTGGGAGTAAATAGAAATCTCTTCCTTTGGCCTCTTTTTTACATTTGATCTAAGCTTAATTTTTTTTTTTGACCTCGTGTTTTAGTTTTTTTTTTTTTTTAAGGTTTATTTATTTATTTATTTTTATTTTAGAAAGAGAGCGCATATGCAGGGGGAGGGGCAGAGGGAGAGAAACTCAAGCAGACTCCCCGCTGAGCTCGGAGCCCGAGATGGGGTCTCGATCTCACCACCCGGAGATCACGACCTGAGGCCACACGAAGAGCCAGACGCTTAACAGACTGAGCCAGCCAGGCGCCCCTATTTTTGTTGGACTTTAAAAGAAAAGATGAATGTGATTGAATGTCCCACACTGGGAGAGTGAATTCCTCAGCGGGGAGCAAGGGATGCCAATACGCCGTTGTCCACGTTGGTTGAGAAACTGGACACACAAACAGGAATCACTGCTTGCACAACAACCTGTGTTGGATGTGTAAATGCAGGTGACCAGGTTCTATTCAGAAGCCACTTAGGAAAACAGGACACAGGCTTTTCTAGGTGCAGTCTCCAGTGAATCTGATCCGTGTGTCAGGAAAACAGGATGCTGTCTCTGGACCCGTAGCAAGATTTATGTTTCAGAATATTGCAACATAACTTCCTTCCCTCTCTTGCCTTTGTGCATTGTTTGAAGAAGGAGAATAAAGGAGTGCTTTTAGAGCATGGCAGTACCTAAGGATGGGTGGCCCGGGATTAGTTTAAATAGCACGTTGGCCCTTGTGGTCACCATGGGCCACCTTGTCCCCGTTTCATGTAAACATCTGCTTTCAGTGCCTCCTTGACACAACTGCATGTGCATCTTCCATTCGTTTGTGTGTTACCTCTGAGTCCCACTACTTGGGGTCCTTCAGAGCATGGCGAGTGAGAAGGTGGTTGTCTCTAGGTCATTACTCATAGCATGTTCTGAAGTCTGCCTTTGCTAATAATGGGGGACAAGGGCCCACAGCCGCAGCCAGCATTCATGTGGGGTGATCACCGGGACGCTCGGTCAGGTCTGAGTCTGTGAACTTTTGTGGGACCAAAAGTGGGGGGTGCTTTCCCGTTATCTACTGAAAGATGTCCTGTCATGCCAAGGGTACAATGGTAGTTGGATGCTTCCAAGAATATTTGGTTATTCTGACGGGAACGCAAGAGATTTTATATTTCTTCTTTGGACTTTCTGTTGTTTTCTCATTTTTTTTTCTAAAATGGGCATATATTATGTACGTTTCAAAGTTTTTTTTTTTTTTTTAACTTGGCTATTCAAATGACCCTGAGTATTTTGGGAGTGGGGAACTTGCTTGTCTGGGTCACGGAAGTGTTTCTAGATGTTGTGTTAGAAGATGACAGAAAGTAAGTACCCCAAAAATATTTGCAGCAGAATGAATGAATTGATCAAGACATCTATATTGATGATGGAACCTCAGTAGGTGATATATATAATTACATAAAGAGCACAGAGGATCTGTTTCCTAAAGAACC